CAGAGAGAGAGAGAGAGAGAGAGAGAGAGAGAGAGAGAGAGAGAGAGAGGAATAAAGAGAAAGAGGGATGAAAACAAAATTCATACTTACACAGAAAAATGAGCAGTAGAAGCTAAGAAAAAAAAAGATGGAAGAAAGAGAAAGAGATGAAAACAAAATTCATACTGACTGAAGAAAATGGGTCAATTAATATTCACAAACAGCTGGTCATTTTGCCTCAAGACAAAAGTTTACGAATCAATGCAGCTTAGGAGCAAGACACAGTTCAAAGGTTAAGCCATTTCAAACAAATTCAAAGGTGAATTAACACTTATTTTCGATTTCATGACCAGTTTAGTGACGTACTATGTCACTTTCAGATTTGTACCAAAAGACAGCCCCGGCATAGTGGCTTTTACCCCCTCTTCGGAAAAGAGTCAAAAAGAGATAAGGAGACGAGGTTCAGAGGTCAGATGACACAGTTGACAGGTCAAGTAACTCACATCGTTTCCCTTGGCGATGATCGTCCTCGTGTTCCCCTGGTAGTCAACACGTTCCACCACATTGAGGAAAGAGTCAGCCCAATACAGCTGCGACTTAGCCAGATCCACCGTCAGGCCATTGGGGTGAGTCAGCTTGTTGCTTGCCAAAATTTTCAGCTCAGAGCCATCCAGATTCATACGGCCAATTTTGGCAGTGGAAGACCAGTCAGAGTAAAAGAGGTATCTGCAAAAATGTAGTAAAATTCATTGTAATTTTGGCAATGGAGGACCGTTCTGAGCACAAGAGATACTTAAGAACAAAAAATATCATACTTCATAATTTAGGGCAAATATAACACATTGACAGCCTATCATGGTTGAAAATTCTTTAGTTGAAACTTGCTTAGCTGAAACTTACTGAGCTGAAACTTGCTTCTCAAAGTTTGAATATTGAGCATTACTGACACATTTAAAGCCTACCGAGTTTGAAACCATTCTCAAAGTCTCTAAAAGACCACTACCGACAGATTTTAACCATGTCTGGATGGTGGCAGCATCCGGTAGTCGAGGTCCGTAACCATTGCTGGACGGTACCACAATCCGATGCGAAGTTATTATTGTATTATGGTACGGGCCGAATATAAAAAAGGACGGGCTAACAAGCCTTTAGTTTGACCCGGAAGTCAAAGATAAATGAATTCTACGTCTATGTAATGCTTTAAAAATCAGTAAGACACGAAACAAGCGTTTTTAAAAACGTAATAAGTCGAGTCGCATTTCCACAAACATGAGAGAATTATGTTGAAACATGATTTTAAATGGCATGGTTAAAGAGTTAAGGTTTAATAGACAAAAAAAACCTCAGATAAAACAGCAAGACTAAAATTTGAAATCAAAGTTTGAGCTTCAAGCGCTTTTGACATATTCAAGTCATCAAAAAAGAGACCTGCTTGTGACTTCATCACCATCACCCATCTCACGTATAATGAAAGCCCTACACTAACACATTTTCAATGGATGAGAACAAAAACTTAGAAAGAGAAAATGAAATATATGACAAAACTTTCCTTCAAGACCAAATATCAGCTAGATTTTTTTTAATCCACAAAATACAGAGGTCTGAAGAAACAGAAGTACAAGCACAAAGCAACTTCAAATAAGCACATTTTACATTTATCAGACTTCCCACTAAGACAGATTTTTTTTTTAATGTCTATGATTTTTTAAACTCCCATAGACAACAATTTAGATAATTTAAGAGGCAGGATTAAGACAAAGAGCCACTGAGAGAAAGAAAAGTGACCAACAAGCAGAGCTGTCTCTTACCCTTTGGTGGGGTCCACTACGATACTTTTAGGCCGCTTCACCCCAACAGACAGCACGATCTGGCAGTAGTCGCCCAGAGCATTGCACATGAAGATCATCTGACGAGTCTCATCAGAGAAATACCAGTTACCAGACAGCCAGTCCTTGGCCACATAGCGAACACCTGGGGATTGGGGGGGGAAGCACATTGAGAGCATATTTATGTTAAAAATGGAAGGGGTGGGAGTAGGGGGAGAGACACACACACACACACACACACACACACACACACACACACACACACACACATATATATACACTTAAACACACACATATACAAACACATAAACACATTCAAAACATAAGCAGTGGACACACAGAAGGCAGCATATGTCAGAGATGAAATAGTTCAACATGAGTTTTGATGCACAGAAGCCACAGGATGAAATTGAAAGTGTTCGTCGATATCAGAAGTGAAAATACAACACAGATAATATTCACTGAAGAAATGTCTCATGCCGAAGAAGACAGAGTTTGACAGGTAAGAGTTACAAACACAGAAAACAGGTGAAAAAAGGTATGACATCTGGGCATAGTTCTAGCATAACCTGTCGGCAGGTGCAGAAACTTATTCTGTGACATCAAAAACAGACTTAGAACTTCATTTGTATCTCAAACGAGGTTTAATGAAACCTGTTAAGATAAACCATTTCTAATTCGTAATTGGATTTTGAAACAGAAAAATAGTGTTTTAAAAAACTGTCCATCATTGGTTCATCCCCCAAACCTAACCCAAGGAAAAGAGCAACACTTGAAATTAGTGTCAGCGAAAGTGCTGAGGGTACTCACTGTCCAGGCTGAAGGGCAGGGGTACTTCCCAGGTCTCCGTTGGCTTGACCACGTTGGCACACCAGAATCTTGAAGATTTGTCCTTGGGCATGTAGGTGATCTGTGCCAGATATGAGGGACAGCTGTTAATGATTTCATGATGGTAAAAAGTTTTGGAATAATATGAGGCCAGCCCCAGGATAGGGAAAGATGGAAGGTAAAGTGTTTGTTCATGGTCTATATCTTAATGCAGTGTGAGAAAGGCTGTGATGATAATGAAAAGTTTTACACCCTTACTGACACTATTTAGATCATTCATGAGGCAGGCTACTTTACCCCTGCCTGTCAAAGCTAACCCGGGTTAAGGAAGAATATAAAGTTCCAGCAGAAAGACAAAAATTCATGACAAAAATTTTCCAGAGATAGGGATCCAATCGCATCTCCCATGTGTGACAGCTAAGCGCCCCACTGGTACAACACAGAATTTGTGTAAGTGTGTGTGTGTGTGAGTGCTGTGTTGTGTTGTGTGTGTGTATGAGAGCACATAGGGGTACATGATAAACTACAGGGGAGTACATGTGTGCAGAAGGAATGAGTAAGTGAATGCTATCTACACCCCTTTCAAGAATATAAGAACCCGTCATTTCCAAGATGGGTTCCCGTGGGACAGAAGCTCAACAACCCTGGAAGAGTCACTCATTTCACTGTGGGAATGACAAAAAGCTTGCTCCATTCTTCCGACAAACCTTAAAGCTGTGGACCATCTACAAGTTTAAAAATCTATATCAAATCCTTGAATGAAAGTATGAACGAACACTTAATAAAAAAGAAAGAAAACAAAAGCAAAAGAAAAGAAAAGAAAGAAAGAAAGAAAGAAAGAAAGAAAGAAAGAAAGAAAGAAAGAAAAAAAGTAAGAAAGAAAGAAAGAAAGAAAGAAAAAGAAAGAAAGAAAGAAAAAGAAAGAAAGAAAAACATAAGGATAGACAGGGGAAAAAAAAAAAGAAGTCATGTACCCAGCACACAGTGTTGTTGGCCACATCCACATCGAGAGCTGTGACCCGATGTCCAGGTATCTCCTGCTGCCCAGTAGAACTCAAGCCGTCCAAGCCCTTATTGAGAGTTGATAACTCCACATTGAAATAGTTGGCTACCACTAACTTGGCTGAAGAGTCCTCTGAAACAGGCAATGTTTAGGTGATTGAAAGTTAGAGTCTGAATTCAAGAGATGCACAATTAACATGATTATGGTCATTCAGCGCTGGAAAAAGTAAAACATATACAGAGAAAGAGAGTGACAAGAAAAAAGTAGGACCCACCAGTCGCACCTTTCAATTACAAGCTTTCTAGAGGTCAGAAAAATAGCAGTGATAAGCAGGCTACTTATACAGCTTAGATTTTCCAATCTCTCAAATCCTACTAAACATCATTACTGAAAAAACATCTATCAAAACTCAAATAGTTGTTATGTAACTAAAGTAGCATCTTTACTAACTGTTAAACAAAGAAAATAGGACTGTTGAATGATCAACATAAGAAGTGGACTTTCATTATGGTGATGATCAGAGAATGGGATTACGGAATTTTCTTTTGGATACCACAACCTTCCCCACAGAGCCAGAAACATAACCCCAGATCTAAAAATAGAAAGCAGCATCCTTTCCAGTGAAGCGGGACATACCTGGGATCTGACACAACCCCTTCCCGACCAGTTGGTATCCTGGCAGGCAGGAGCAGCTATAGCCTGGTACATGATTCACACACATCTGGTCGCAGAACGAGTCGTACTCACATTCGTTCAAATCTGGGGAAACGAAAGACAACCGTGCATTTTCAAACATGTTTCCAGCACCTATCCAATATATATGAATATGATCTAGTGTTTTATACTCCTTTCATAATGTATTTTGTGGTATGAGTTTAGCACCTATTTCAACACTGTAAGGCAGGCATGGGCAAGCATGACTAAGTCGTGGGCCAGATGAGCAATTCCAAATATCTCAAAGGTCAAAACAAGAGAAAAATGGTTAAAATCCCTTGAAATACTCAAGCTTTCAAAATTGAGACTAAAACTGACACTTGTGTATATGCCACTCAAGGGCAGTTCATGAGATAGAATATTACATCTATTGCTTCTAGCTGGACCAGAAACTTGTATGGTTTTCATTTTTAAGACATACAATTTGCTTTTTATGATTAATTATTAACTCACCGTTGGCCACATTTAGTATTAATTAGTGGGTCGACTCGAAGAAGAGTTATACAGCACTTGCAATACAAAAAAGGCATATAAGAGCAGAAAATTAGAGGTGTTATACTAGAGTGTAACATAAAAGAAAAGAAGGAGTGAAAAGGACAATAGATGTTTGAAAGAAAAAAGAGGAAAATCACACCAGAACACCCACCAACCAGCCATCCATTACCTCAGAATCGGGCCAACAGTGGTTTGTTATATTTCTCTATTAGGTCATGGTATTTCCTTGTTTGTACACGACAAACATGAGTACACATTGCTGGGGGGGTCTATAAAGTCCAACAACAGGCGCCAACATTTCCGCGACGGTTTAATACTGGTGCACTTTCTGTTTGTACCTAAGTATCTTAATTTTAATTTTACTGAGAGTTTTACGGCACTTGCAGAACATTAAGGTCATAAAAGGGCAAAAGAATAAAGGTGTTACTAGACAGTAACATACAAAAAAAGAAGGAGGAGAGATAATGACAAAAGATGTCAGATAGGAAAAAAGGAGCAAACCACACCAAAGTGCCTGCCACCCACTTAAACATAACTATTTGATTAGGCTTATGGTACCGGTACTAAAAGTTTCTAAAATTTACCCACATTTATCACAGACAGGAGAAATTATGACATAGCGCCACTCGCCAGTCAGTGTGTCAGTACAGCGAATGTTGCCCTCCTGCTGTGAGGGCTCTTCTACTTCCAAGTGTGACTGACGTGTGCCCGTGAGTGCATTTGCAGGTGCATGTGTGTGTGTGTGTGTGTGTGTGTGTGTGTGTGTGTG